CTGGGTTGAGGACCTCTCGGCTCTGGTTCTGCCTTGCTAGGGTGCAGCTAGTCTGGTGTGGAGGTGAGGCCATTGATATACCTGCTCAGCATCATCAGAACAGCCGTCTTACCCCCAGGGGCAGCCAACAGAGCGCCTAGGAGCTGGGGGTCTCTGAGTTGTTCTGGGTGGAAGCAGTGGAGGTCCCCTCTCCATACCCTCTTCCTCAAAGCAGGCTGAGATGGTGGTGAGCCATACACGTGCACCTGCATGAAGAGTCCGCGGCGAGGGAGGCTGGCAGCCCCAGGGCCCTGCTGTCTCACCCCCATAGGCACACCAGGCTCCCAGACCGACCAGCTGAACCTCCGGGGGTTCTGCCAGGGCGGTGACTGGCCATCCGCTGCCCTCCACAGGCCTGTGAGCTGGCCCTTCCCGACCCCTCCAGGAGGGGGCATCTCCAAAGCCTGGCCTCATCTGTCCTGTGTGTTTTGTTTTTTCCTAGAAGGCCAGAAATGCTCACATCAGGATCCGATTGAGAGCTCCGACTCCTATGGTGACCTCTCGGACGCCAGTGACCTGAAGACGCCCGAGAAGCAGAGCGCCAACGGCTCCTTCTCCTGCGACATGGCAGGCCCCAAAAACAAAATGGAGTCTGATGGGGAGAAGAAGTACCCCTGCCCTGAATGCGGGAGCTTCTTCCGCTCTAAGTCCTACTTGAACAAACACATCCAGAAGGTGCATGTCCGGGCCCTCGGGGGCCCCCTGGGGGACCTGGGTCCTGCCCTCGGTTCACCTTTCTCTCCCCAGCAGAACATGTCTCTCCTCGAGTCCTTTGGGTTTCAGATTGTTCAGTCAGCGTTTGCATCATCTTTAGTAGATCCTGAGGTTGACCAGCAACCCATGGGGCCTGAGGGGAAGTGAGGCAGATGCGGTGTCCCCATGGAAATGGCCACCGGGGACTGCTGAGAAATGCTGTGAATGCGGAGGAAAGTAATGTCTTTGGGTTCTGTAGCTGAGAGATTTTTATTCGTTTTTAACTCCCCCTTCCCCCCACCCTATCACCCCACCCACCCCCACTCCACCACCCATCCCCTCAGTGGTCTTTAGAAATAGATTCTCATCTGATACTCTGCAGGAATATCTGCGAGACCTGGTATGGGATAAGGGGAGAAAACACTACATAGGCCTCCAAGGCAACACCAGTCCCGGTTTCTTTAATGGGCGGAAGCTGGAATTCCTGGTGCTCAGTTCTTAGTGACCCCAATCCCAAACCCACACCTGATGGCATTCTGGGACCGCAGTGATTTGGGTCCCCTCCCCCTTCTCATATCCTTCTAGAGAAACCACATTAGGGTCTCCACACACTTACACAATGCTGATGCCCAACTGTTTTCAAGGAAGCTGGAAACCTACAGCATCCCATGGACCATGGGGTGAGTGCCCTCTGAGAGCCCCTGAGCTTGACCCTTGACCTGGAGGGCCCCAGACCTTTCTGAGCCCTACCTGGAGGCTGGCATTTTGCTACTAGGACAAGCTCAGCTATTGAGGACACCCCCACCCCAAATTCCAGTTCTTATGTGATTTTAACCATTCAACTTGCTGTTGGGTTTTAATTCTCTAATTATTATTATTATTGTTATTATTTTTTAGGAGCAGTTGTAGTGAATTGCTACTGAAAGCTATCCCAGGTGATACAGAGCTCTTTGTAAACCGCAGTCACACATTAGGGTTAGTATTAAACTTTGTTTAGATGTACCATAATTAACTTGGCTAGTTGATTGTTTGAAGTCTATGGAAGAAATAGTTTTATGCAAAATTTTAAAAATGCCAGTCTGGTCAGGGAGGTATAGGGGGTTTCAGTGTTGTTGGTAGCCAGGAAGGCAGGAGAGCTGGTAGGTGGGGACACTGTGTGCCTCGGCTGTGTCACGTGAGCAGGCCCAGGTTGACCTGGTGATGTGAACTGATCTGATCAGACTGTATTAAAAACGTTAGTACATTAATCTACCTGCTCCCCTGAGTCCGGTTTTTCAGCCATAGGTGGGGGCCCCTTTAGGACTCAAGAGGGTGGGCACCTGGGGTGGGGGGTGGGATCCCAGGAGACTTCTCTTCCTCCTCATTGTACCAGCTGCACTGGGACCACTCTGATAGCTGGGTGTTCCCACTGAGGACCCAGCTGCCAGCATTCACCCATTTGTTCAACAAATATTCACTCCTGTTGTCTTCACTGCTGTGTGCCAGCCCCAGCCTCAGACAACCCTGGTGAGCAGGACACCCTTGTGGAGCTTATCGGGAAAGAGACAGTTAACAAGTAAGCAGATTTAACCATGAGTTCAGGTAACAAGAAGGCCAGGGAAAAAAACCAGGCAAGGTGGGGACAGTGACAGAGGGTAGGTAGGGTGGTCCAGGATGGTGAGGGGCAGGGAGTGGGGCTCTGGGAGAGAAGACCTGGAGTTAGAGAGGACCCAGTGTAGCGACCAGCTAAGACCTAAGGAGGGACATGGGCAGGGAAAGAATTCTCATGGCCAAGGGGCTGGGCTCTAAGAAGCTCAGCAACATGAATCCCCCTCAACCCCCATTACCTACAGGGTTATGTAAAAGGTTGTTGCACCCTTTGTGGTGAATGTATGAAGAGAAGGGGGAAAGAGGACAGCAAACAAGAGGCAAGAAATGAACACAAGGAAGAATTAATGGGAGCAAGAATTACAGGGAGAGGGGACTGGCCAACTTAAAGCAGCCTGGTCATCTTGAGAAACCTCAAGGAGAAGGAAACCCCTCAACTAAGCGAAACAGCATGTAACCTCCAAACAAGTAGGAAAAAAAGTGATAGAGGAGGGAAAAATAAACATAGACCAGGAGGAATAAACAAAGCATAAAATGATTTAGACCCACATTAATACCATTAATTACATTGCTCTGGTTTAAGGCAAAGACTCTGAGCTGGATTAAAAAAAAGAAAACCTCTAAGCCATCTACATGAAATCTTGGGTAAGTTGCCGGGTTCTGTGGAGTGTGTGGGATAGAGGCTCAGGCCCCTTGGTATCAGTAGCAGAGGAAAGGGTAACCCTAAACTGCTGAGGCCCTGTGAATGTGGCCTTGTGACCACCACAAGATCTGCCAGCTGATAGCACCCGTCAAGCGTTACAGCAGAGAACCTGGCCCTGAACTGGAAACATTAGTCCTGCCCCCCTCCAAGCCCCTGATCATGTCCATGGACAGGCAGGGGCCGCAGTCAGGAAGCAGTATCTGTGCATGGCAGGAGGGGAACAACAAAGCAAGCAGGCTGCTTCTTACAAAGCACTACTCACCTGGAGGCCTGAGCAGCAAGAGGAGGTCCCCTGCCTGCCCCCCAACCTCGATCTCCTCTATATACCTGTGCCTGTCAGGCCACAGGGAAGAAAGCTGCGTAGAACACGGGTGCATAAAAGTGGAATGACTTTGCCATGGTCAAGGGTAAAGAGCCTGAGCTCCAGCTCTACCATCTGCTGTCAACCCTGGGCAAATCTTTGAGCCTTAGTTTCCTCATCAGTACAAAAGGCATGAAGATTAAGGGAGACCATCAATGAGCTAACATTTTCTGTGCCCAATTCTCAGCACAACCTGTGAAGTTGGTTCCATTACCATTCTCCTCCTGCAGATCAGCAAACAGGCTCAGAGAGGTAGAAGCACCCCTCCCACCTCTGCCCCAGGTCACATAGTGCCAGAGCCAGGGTACAAACTCAGGTCTGTCCTCTGACTCCAGAACCTTTACTCCCAAGCTCCAGTGACCGTGCCTTTACACACATGTAAATGCCCACTACCACACTTGGCACAGAGCAGGCCCTTACCCTGCCAGGCCCCCAGAACAAGGGTTTACACAGTGCAGCAGAAGAAAGCCATGGAGGAAGTCAGGGTCAGTGTCAGAAGGAGTGCCCAGAGACCCTTTGTGAGTAAGCATTCTTCATGCTTAGGTGACCCTCTGGGGTGACTTGCACCCCACTTCAAGTCACTTGCTCTAGGCAGAGCTGTCATACCAGGAACCCATCCAGCCACTACCTGATAGCCTGGGCAAAGACTGGGCACTGGTCTCACTTCCTCACAGCATTGATCGCCCATCTCTGCCCCTGGCAGAGATTAAGGAAGTCCCGTGGCACCAAAGAACGCTGGTGCACAGGGCTACCCAAGAAATCTGACCACTGATAGGCAGAAGTGGGTGGGACCTGGGGGCCTGGCAGGTCTGGGGCTGTGGCCAGTCTCAGGATATATTTTGTGAGATACTTTTTACAATTCTGGCAGTTCTCCAAGCCTTGGCTTCCTTGTCTGTAAAGTGGGGATGATGGGGGACTGACTTGGAAGGGTTGTAGTGAGGATTAATAACGTATACCAGGTGCTGGGAACAAAGCCAGGCTCCCCATGAGTAAGAATGAACTTCAGCCCCTTCCCTGGCCCCCTCTGTTCCTGCTCTCTGCCTCTGTCCCTCTAGAGCCTTTGGGGACCCCCAAAACTGACTCTCCACAGCAACTTGCCTCCTCTGTATTTCCCTGGCTCCAGTCCCATTTTTCCTACTTGGTATGCCGCAAGCACAAGTCCCCACTTGTGCTTTCATTTTTCATGTATCAGGCCTTTACTTATGCCAACCTTCAAATCACATCCAGTTTCTGACAATAATAACCTTAATAATAACAACATATGTTGTGTTTACTAAGTGCCAGGTGCCCTTCTAAACACTTCACATATATTAAATTCAGTCTGTCCTTAACAACTGCCCAAAGAGTTAGGGACTATTTTTACAGTTAAGCATCTCACCCCAAACACACAGCTTTAAGTGGTACACCGAGGACCTGAACCTAGGCCCAGAGTCTGTTTCTTTGTTGCTGCCCTGCACTCAGGAGTGCCACGGCTTGACCCCAGCTGTCCTGGGAGCTCCCACTCAGCTCCTTCCATTCTCCGTGCACACCATTCATTCCCAGGGCCGGGCCTTTACCCACGGAATGCCCTCTGCCTGGAAAGCTCTTCCTCTGCAGCTCTGGGCATCTGAATCTTACCCTTTCCACAACCTTCATTGCTGCTGCTCTCCTGGGTCGTCACCACTGTGCCCTGGTTCACGGGGATCTCCAGGGTCAGCCAGCTTGGTGCAGATCCCAGTGCCACCACTTTCCAACTGGGTGACCTTTGGCAGGTGTGTCTCCTTTTCCTGGTGTGGAAAACAAGGGTAACAGTTTCTCATTCACACGGCTGCTGTGAGGATTACATGGACTGGTATCTATGAGCACATTAGGAAATACTCAAAAACCTGTACTATCTCCCTCACCAGACTACACCCTCCTAAAAATGAACATAGGCAAACTTTTTCTGTAAAGAGCCAGAGGGTAAACATTTTCAGCTTTGTGGGCCTATGGTCTCTGTCACAGCTACTCAGCTCTGCCCCTTGTGTAAGAGCAGTCTGGCACAGATAATACATAGATGGATGGGCATGGCCTATGCCAATAAAATTTCACTGATGGGGGCGCCTGGGTGGCTCAGATGGTTAAGCGTCTGCCTTCGGGTCAGGTCATGATCCCAGGGTCATGGGATCGAGTCCCGCATCAGGCTCCCTGCTAGGCGGGGAGCCTGCTTCTCCCTCTGCCTCTGCCTCTCTCTCTCTCTCTCTGACTTTCATGAATAAATAAATAAAACATTAAAAAAAAAAAAAAACTTCACTGATGGATGCTGAAATCTGAATTTCATATAATTTTTACATGTTACAAAATATTATTCTTCTTTTGATTTTCCCACAACCATTAAAAAATGTAAAAACCATTCACAGCCCACAGGCTGTACAAAAACAGGTTGGCAGGCCTGATTTGACCCCCGGCTAGAGTTTACTGACCACTGTCCAAGGGCATTTCTCCAGGCCCTCCCCGGATTTCAAATCTTGGATTTCACCCAGACAGGGGTCCCAGCCTACCATGGGCTCACGGTTTGTGTGAGTTAAGCTGCTCTGACACCCAGAACTTGTGATTTCTTGGTCTGCGGATCAATCCATCGATCCCTGTAGAGTGCAATGCCACATCCCCCAACCAAGGTCATTCCAAGAACTCCAGAACCTACGCAAAGAAGGGCCTAATGTGCTCAGAACAAGAATGGCCTGCCCAGGTCACCTATCCTGTTTTCTGGTCCTTTTGTTTGTAGAAGTAGAGGAGGGTAGAAGTAGAGGAGGAAGGTCAAGGGGAAAGGGTAGTCAGGGAGCTGGCAAAAGGAAGGCGTTGTAGGGAGTGGTGAATGAATCCTGTTACTGCTTGCTCCAGTTCTTCCTTAGGGCTGATTTATCTCTGCTTTCTGACTTTTCTGAAAGGTCTGGACTCTGAAGCACCAGGGATGAAGCACCAGGCTGCTAGCTTGGGCAGTGAATTCAGAATTTCACAGTTCTCTTGAGTGCCCCTTGCAGGAGGAAATTCCACGGTCATGCCCCCTCTTACATTTGAATGATAGTAGTCAGCACTCATCCTGAAGTTACCTAAAACTTGCCCTAAAGTTATCACCAGCATCTCTAAAATTCATTCTGGGCCTTGGAGAAAGCAGGCTGGTGGGATTTCCTCCAATTTACATAATCGTGCCTGGCCACTGAGTGCCTGGCAGCAGAGCCTCTAGAATTCTAGTCCTTACACACTCCCCTCCTCCCTCTCATAGCTACCTCTGACCCTCCTCTGAACCTCTCCACGAGTGCAGGATGCCTTTAGACCCCGTGAAGCATTCTCCCTGGGGGTGGAGAGGAGGAGGGCAAAGCAATAAATGTCTGGATCTGCATCTCTTGCTAAACTGCTGTGAAGGGAAATACCAAATATTTATCTAAGGGAAGAAATCTGTCCTAACAAAACATGTTTCCTTTGAGAACAGGGCAGTGTGGAGGTAGGTGCCTCTGAATAAAGCTTCTTTGTATCACTGTGGATGGGTACAACAGGAAAATAACTTATTTTTGCTTCAGGGAAAATCTGCTGCCCTCCCTAAATCTGGTGCCCTACCCCATGGCCAGTCCATACCAGGCAGAGGTCGAAGCCTGTGGCAACACTGGAGAGGAAACTGCGTGATTATTGACATCTCCCTCTCTCCTTCAAGGGCATTCTCTTCTGATTTTCTCTTCTGAGTCAAAATCTGTGCCCTGAGCCTGCTGAATGTTTTGGCATCATGTTAAGGAGCACAAGCTCCATGAGTAGCAGGGCTTGTGGGGTTTTTTGGGTTTTTTTTGTTTTTGGATGATGATAAACTATTTGCTCATTCATGTAGTTTCCTCTGCCTGTTAAGTCCTTATCTCTTGCATACCTGAGGAATTTTTATTCAGAAGCTCAGTTCACATAGCCCCTTGTCTGTACAGCTTTCTCTGTTCCTCCAGAAGAGAGTTTTCATTTATTACATCACTACCATGTACCATGCACTGCGCCAGAGGCCTTATGTATATCAACAACCCTATGGGGTAGCTACTATTTTATTCTCACTGAGGCCCAGAGATATTAAGTAACTGCCATTGTCACATAGCTGTGAAGTTGGTAGAGCTGACCAATCCTGAACTGCTCAGACTGTGGAGCCCAGGGCTCCATCGCTGTGTTTCCCTCTGTGCCATCTCCCTGTTCTGTGCATATTTCTACTCTTGCATCATCTTTTTATGAATCTATCTCCCCATATGAGATCAGGTTTCTTTGTAAATGGGATTCATGCAAAGATAATTCATTTCTGTATTCCCAATACCTAGAATAGTGCTTGGCACTGAGCAACCACTAATTCATCCAACAGATATTCTGAGTGGCTACTGTGTGCTAAGAAAGACTGAATTCCTGTTCTCAAGGAGCTTAAGCATACAGAGTTGTACAGGACATGGGACATATACCTAAACAGATGTTGGTACCACAAGAGAGAATATAACATGGGAGGTAAGGGAAAATAAATCCTCTGATGATTTGGAGAAGGATGATGTGCCAGCCGGGTGAGAGGAGATGCCATTAGAGTAGGACCCTGGAACACCCTTAGGACTTGAAGATGTAGGATGGGTGGGGGAGGAGCAAGAGGGCTCAGAGAAGGAAGGACATGGGCAGATACCAGTCCAGAAATATCTGAAGTCCAGATACCAGCTGACGATCAAAGTGACAAATCCCTTCATGCCACTGAGGGAGAAAAGGGCCGTTTCAGACTGTGTAGGAGCTGCTGGGAAAAGTCAGCCAGCCGTCAGACTGAGAAGAACTAGTAGGGCAGACTGTGCTCCACTGTGGGGGCCAGTGTGGGTGACTGAACAAAGACAATTTCCTAGGGGAATCCTGCAAATCTTCTTTCATTATAACAAGAACTACTGCTATTTATTGAGGACACAGTTCTGATTCTTGTGATCATGACACATACACTTGTCTCCATTTCACAAGAAGAAAACCAGCACAGAAAAAAAAAAAAAAAGCCTGAGATTTAGAATCAGAAGATCTTGATTCCAAGGCTCACTCTTACTTTTCTATACCAATGGCAGAACTTTTCTGGAAAATTATTAGAATTTACCAAAAGCCTAAAAATGTTTATATCTTTTAAACCAGTAATTCTACTTTTTGGAAGATATCTAACAAAGTAAGCCTCAGCAGCTTAATGCAAAAAGATGTATATAAATTGTGGAAGCAGCCTAAATGGCTGGTTAATAAACAATCATTTGAAAATGATGATTACAAAAAACGGTTAGTACCATGGGGGGAAATGTTTGTATCAGAAGTAGTGATGAGAAAACAGCAGATTATGGAAAAACAAAATTGCCTATGTGATAAGATCTGAACAATGTTAAAAAGATACATGGGGAAAAAGACTGGAAAGAAATGCAATTGCCACTGGTTTATCCCAGCATCTTATCCTGGATAAACTTGAAGGTTTCTGATCTTTTTCAATAGCTGCCCTCAGTGACACAATGCCAGACCCCCTTTTCTCACTGGGTAGCTTAATGATGGATGCCATGATTCTCAGCTACTTTCAGGAATTCAAATAGTCTCCTTCTGGTATTTAAGATTAATTTTAAATGTTTATACAATAAAAATATTCATTTTTGAAATGTCCATCTCAAGTTCCCCTTCAAAGCTCCGCTCTGCCCCTTCCCAGGGAAGCTAGACCTGGCCATGGCTCTGGGGGGTTGAGGCGAGGGTAGGGGAACACAGCCTGTCCTCCACTTCCCCGCTGGTTCCTCTCTGTGGGAGGGCTGGGGACAGAGCTAGGGAGGCCCAGGTCTTCCTACCTGACAACTAAGGGAAAGCCAGGGTCTCTCTGATGGTTGGTTGCTGCTCTTCAAGGCTAAATGGCTGCTGGTTGCCATCTTCCTCTGTGTGGCAACATCAAAACACTGGCTCTCTTGTGCAGAACTTTCTGAATCTCAGCTTCCTTACCTGTAAAATAGAAAACAAACTACCTTATGTGGGTGATGTGGAAACAGAACAAGATAATGTATGTGGGAGCACTATCAACTATAAAGCACTATGTAAACAATATTCCCTATTATTATTACTTTGAGGAGCCTATTATTTGGAATGTCTACTATTATTTGATTTTTTAAAAGATTTTATTTATTTATTTGACAGAGAGAGACACAGCAAGAGAGGGAACACAATCACGGGGAGTGGGAGAGGGAGAAGCAGACTTCCCGCTGAGCAGGGAGCCTGACGTGGGGCTCGATCCCAGGTCCCTGGGATCATGACCTGAGCTGAAGGCAGATGCTTAACAACTGAGCCACCCAGGTGCCTCAAGAATGTCTACTATTATTTGAAATGGATACCTCCACTTAGAGATCAAATAGATATTTCACTTAATAGGTAGAAACAGAACTGGTGAATATCGCCCCCCCCAACCCAGCTCTTCTCCCAGTCTTCTCCATCTCAGTTAAACAGCAACTCCATTCTTCCAGTGATGCAAGCCAAAACCCTTGCAGGTAGCTGTGGCCCTCTCCTCCTCTCACACCCCACCCACATCCAATCCCTCAGCAGACCCTGCTGACTTTTAAATCAAACCTACTAGTCAATAGCTTCTTCCCACTTCTGCTACTACCCCGTCCAAGCCACATCACCTCTCTCTGGCAACCATCCTCCAGTTGGTCTTCCTCCTCTACCCTTGCTTCCCTGTGATTGACTCCACACTGCAGCCAGAGTAAGCCTTGTCAAACCTAAGTTGGTTCACATCATTTTTGTTTTCAAACCCTTCAGTGGTTTTCCATCTCACTTAAAGCAAACCCCAAATCCCCTGCCAAGGTGTACAAGGCCCCATATGATCTGGCCACTGGTTTCCTCTCTGACCTTGCTCCTACCACTCTCTCTTTCAGTCACTTAGCCCCAGCCACACCATCTTCTCACTGTTCCTCCCACAAACCAAGCATGCTCCTGCTTCAGGGCCTTTGCACTCTCTAGTTCCTTTGCCATGAATATTCTTTCTCCAGATGATCACAGGACTTGCTCCCTCACCTCAACAGAGTTGTTTTCCCTGATCACCAAATTTAAAACAACACACTCTTGCCCTATCCTTCTTTCCTGCTTTTTCTCCTTTCTTAGCAGTTAGCACCCCTGACATGTTACATATTTATCTGGTTATGGTCTACCTTCTCCCACTAAAATGCTGGACTTTGCCCACTGCTACATTCCCAATACCCAGTAAAGAAGTGAATTCTTTCCAAACATTTCTTTATAATGACCATTTCATAGATATACCTGCCCAAGTCTGGTGGCAATTTTCATGCCCTTGGGTTCTTCTGGATTGGGTTCCCTTCCTTGTGTATTGGGGAAAATCACATGCTTCCTTCTAGGAAGGAAGGGTAACAAAAGCCTATTTCCATGTTCAACTTTAAGTGTAATTGCCCTGGCACTTGGGGTTTGGGGTTGGAGAGAAGAGGAGGGGATTTGCCCTTAGTGTCTGACCATCTTTAATGCTCATCCTGATGTCTGTAGTTTGGAGTCTGGCAAGATGCATTCTGCCACAGCCCACTTTCTGGGAAGTTGCACTGTGGTAAAGACAAATACATGTAAATAACCAAGAAATGTGATCTAGGAAGTGGGTAGGTATGGGGCATTTATTGTATTTATGGAGGGTGGAAGGAGGAGGACCTAGCAGAGCATACACCCAGAGCTCCACAGAGTTGTTACTGGTCTTAAGAGTTGGGAGATGGGGTCACATAAGACCATGAACTCTAGGGATGCTCCCATCTACATTCACCACCCCACTTGGTTCAACTTTCACAGGAGGCCAAAATAAAACCCGGTAGCCACTCAACCTGCGTGGTGACTATGTCTGATCTCAGGGTGCTTTGTCTTAAGGGGAGAAGGAGCACATCTCTATTCTCAATATAGAGGCTGATTCCCACATAATGACCAGCTTATTTATGGGTCCATGTGGTCATGATACTCATGGTCTTCAGGTGCTGCAGCCTCCAACCCTGCTCTTCTGACCTTAGCTGGCATTGGGCTACCTTCCCTGCCCCTTATACAGAAAGTTGCACTTCCCTGAACTGTTTTCAACAAGCTGCTCTCTTCCTTCTCAGACCTGCCTGGACTGGCTAGGGCACTCCACAACAATGTTCTATTTTCCCTTGGCAGAACCCGCCTCTGGCTCCAACCCTTTGCCACCAGCGGCACCTGTATGCAACTACCCCGGAGAGACCAGTAGGGGGAGCCAGGAAAATTCAGATTCTTCAGCTAGACAAAAGGGGTCAAGGATAAAAGCTACTTCTAAAGAGGTTCAGCTAATTTTCTCCTCATTTAAGATACACAGAACCAAGTGCCCTGTTAAAACAGCTGGTTGTGAGGTTCAGGTGAGTGGAAAGCCAAAGGGAATTCATCCATTCAGTCATCAACAACTATTTACTAAGCACCTACTACATGCCAGACTAGGCATTGCATATAGAGTAATTAATGACAAAGACTGCTGAAGTCCCTAACCTCATACATTAAAGTTGGTGAACTAGGAGGGAGAATAGGTAAGTGAGGTCTAGGCACTTGGATCAAAGTGCATGCATGACAGGTTCACAGAACCCTGGGAGTGGGAGAGACAAAAGAACAGAGTTTGAGGCCAGAAAACACCTATGATTCTACCAATGCAAAAAACTGCCAGAGAAAGAATGTCAGGCCCAATAAAGCTGCTAAAAGCAATCTAAATGAGAGCACACATCCCAGTATCTAAGGGAACTAGCTTCAAGAACAAGTAGAAACTGAAAACTTGATCAATATACTGATTTTGTTTCAAAATAATCCAGTGGGGAAAAGGAGTAAATGGAAGTAGAGATAAAACAAGATTGGCCACATGTTGATGATTCCAATAGCTGGGTGGCAGGTACCTGCTAATTCATTATATTATTCTCTCTACTTCTGCATATCTTTGAAAATTCCCATAGGAAAATTTCATATATACCAACAATTTGATCAATAACCACTACAGACAAGTTTCACAGAAGACATCCTATTTGTTATGGGGGAAAACTGAGCATCTCTGCTCATCCAAAATTCCTAAAGAGTTCAGAACACACTGAGGCTGTGAACATTTTCTCACCTGTCCCCACTTCTCTCACAGATCTGTTGCCAGAGCCCATGATCTTGATCCTTCAAAGAATGGTACAATGAATGCAAGTTATTCACTGAGGCTCCTTACCTGTGTTATTTACCAAAGCGGGGAAGAAACTCAAAACCTCCCTTGGGGAAAATACTGAAAAGTAAATTCTATCTTCTGTTGCCCAATAAGGAAGGAGTGTGTGGTAATGATGATGAGAAGCGGATCAATGGGAGTCGGGGATTAATTCTGTTCCCAGTAGCACTGTAAGGTCACTGGACAACCTTGAACAAATCCCATAATCTCTGGAAGCTCCTCCTTTCTAAAGGCAGGGACATATTACATATGGAAACAGCACTTGTAAATGCTTGTTTTGGCAGCATAAGAAAAGTTCAAAAGACAGGTTCTTTCCCATGTGTCTCATCAGTGTGACATCTCAGGAATGGTTATTCACAAATAAGCATACAGCAGATTGTAAGGTGGGAGCCACTCTTGATCTCTGCACAGCTGTGGTTCAAGAAAGAGGTTTTCTTAGAGGCCTTCTACCCCAGAAACTGAACTCACAACTGGCAGGAAGTATTGGGTCTGAGCTGAGGCAGATCGGAGTAGTCTGCGTTTCTATGAGGATGACCTAAAAAAGCAGCCAGCATTCTCTGACTTCGAGGCAGGGAGGCTTGATAGCTAATGAGTCTGGGTCCAGAAGAAACAGTGCAGACAAGGCGATCTAGAAAAGTTAAAAGCAACCCAGAAAACAGGTAAAATAAAAACGTAACAAAAATAGCACAGCAGAGCAAGGCAAAATAAAACAAACACTTCATAATTATTTTAAATGACAAGGGTACTGATTATACAAATGATCCACACAGAAGTGTGTGTTCCCCAAAAAGTGAAAAGAAAAATACAAAATACTGTTCACAATACACAAATGTACTCAGGAGCAGGCTTGCAATAATAAAAGTAGAGAATTCACAAAGCTACAGTAATCAAAACAACATGGTACCAGCATAAGGATAATAAGTATATATATCAATGGAATAGAACTGAGAGTCCAGAAATAAATCCATACATCTATGAATAATTGATTTTCCACAAGGTGCCAAGACCATTCAATGGGGAAAAGATAGTCTTTCAACAAATGGTGCTGGGACAGCTGGATAGACATATGCAAAATATGACACCAACAGGACAAGCAACCAAAGGAAAAAAAAAACTAGATTTCATCAAAATTAAAAACTTTTATGTGTCAAAGGACTATCAAGAAAGTGAAAACAGGGGTGCCTGGCTGTCTCAGTTGATGGATGGAGCTTGGGACTCTTGATCTTGGGGTTATGAGTTCGAGTCCCATGTTGGGTACAGAGATTACTTAAAAATAAAATCTTTTTTAAAAAGGGAGGGCGGAGTGCCTGGATGGCTCAGTCGGTTGGGCATCTGCTTTTGGCTTTGGTCATGACCCCAAGATCCTGGGATCGAGCCTGCATTGGGCTCCCTGCTCAGCAGGGAGCCTGCTTCTCCCTCTCCCTCTGCCCCTCCCCCTGCTTGTGCTCTCTCTCTCTAATAAATAAATAAATAAATCTTTTTAAAAAATAGATTTTTGGGGCGCCTGGGTGGCTCAGTCGTTAGGCGTCTGCCTTCGGCTCAGGTCATGATCCCAGGGTCCTGGGATTGGGCCCCGCATCGGGCTCCCTGCTGGGGGGGAAGCCTACTTCTCCCTCTCCCACTCCCCCTGCTTGTGTTCTCTCTCTCGCTGTATCTCTGTCAAATAAATAAATAAATAATCTTTAAAAAAATTGTTTTTAAAAATAAATAAAACTTAAAAGGGGCGCCTGGATGGCTCAGTTGGTTGAGCATCCAATTCTTGATTTTG